TAGTTTTTAAAACTCAGCTATTTTTTTCCCTTTAAGTAAAGGCTCTTTTTGTCCTTATATTAACCTCTATTAAGAACTTTATAGGATGCAAAAATAAATGTGTCTCATGGCGCATTCCACAGTAGACAGCAGAGACATTTGTCTCTCACACCGACTCTTACATTGAATATTGGGGGGAAGGCAGAGAATGCGTAAGACATTAGGCCACTGAGCTATGACAGTTTGGAAGCTAGAACATCCTGTGAGAGGCCACACAAATGTCAGGCACTTTGAGGTTTCTTTCCCTGGTGCTGGGTACAAATCTGAGCATTCATGATTTGTTGGTTTACCCAGAAAAATATTTATTGTGTTTTTGCTATGGGTTACGTCTGTTCTAGGTGAGGGATGTTGCAATGGAAGAAAAAAGCAAACTTCTTGTCTTTAAATAACTTAAATTCTAGACAGAAGAAACAGAGAGCAAGAAACTCTGTAGTCTCAGTGGGTGGAGAACAGAGTGTAAGGAAATAATGAGAAAACAACGAGAGGGACTTAGAGGGGATGGACGATGAGCTACAAAGAAACTCTGGATGAAATGGTGCCACTGTCTTGAGTACTGCAGGAGGAATGGCAGTTGTGTCACGCGCTTCTGAGGGGTCAGGTAGGCTGAGGACTGAGGACCCAGTCATCGCGTCTGGCAATGTGGAGGTCACTGAGTCGTGCAGAGAAAGGCCAGACTAGTCTGAGTTCAAGAGAGGATGAGAAGAGTGGAAGAGGAGACGGAGAATATAGAGAACTCTTTTGTAGATGTTTTGCTGCAAAGAGGTGTTGAGGAAATGGCATGGTAAGTGGGCCACAGGAGAGAATTTTATATGACAGGAAATACGCCAGCATGTCTGGTGCTGGTGGGAACGGTCGCCTGTGGGAAAACTGGTGATGGGGAGGAGTGAGGGAAAATTGCTGGGATGATGTCCTTGAGTAGGTGAGAAAGATAGATTCTTCCAGACCAGATTTAAAAATTCATGTCATTCAACAAAGAAACTATATGGAAGATTAATAAAACAAAAAGTTGGTTCTTTGAAAAAATAAACAAAATTGACATGCCTTTGGCTAGACTAATGAAAAGCAGAAAAGAAAGAACTCTAATGAGCTCCATCAAGAATGAAAAAGGAGAAATTACAACTGATGCCACGGAGATACAAAATATCATCTATCGATACTATAAAAACCTTTATACACTTAAATTGGAAAATGTGGAGGAAATGGACAAATTCTTAGAAACACACAGCCTCCCTAGGCTCAACCAGGAAGAAATAGAATTCCTGAACACACCAATATCAAGGACTGAAATTGAAACAGCAATAAAAAAACCTTCCTAAAAAGAAAAGTCCCGGGCCAGATGGTTTCACACCCGAATTTTACCATACCTACAAAGAAGAACTGGTACCTATCCTGCAGAAATTATTCCACAACATCGAGAAGGAAGGAATCCTCCCCAACACATTTTATGAAGCCAACATAACCCTGCTACCAAAACCAGGAAAGGATGCAACAAAAAAAGAAAACTAGACCAATATCCCTTATGAATATAAATGTAAAAATTCTCAATAAAATCAAAATACTGAATCCAGGTGCTTATCAAAAAAATAATCCATCACAACCAAGTGGGCTTCATCCCAGAGATGCAGGGATGGTTCAACATACACAAATCTATAAATGTAGTTCACCATATAAATAGAAGCAAAAACAAAGACCATATGATCCTCTCAATAGACACAGAAAAAGCATTTGACAAAATTGAACACCCTTTTATGATAAGAATGCTTAACAAAATAGGCATAGATGGGGCTTACCTAAAAATGATACAAGCCATATAAGACAAACCCACAGCCAACATCATACCAAATGGGGAAAAATTGAAAGCATTCCCACTTAGAACTGGAATCAGACAATGTTGTCCTCTATCATCATTTCTATTCAACACAGTGCTAAAAGTCCTAGCCAGAGCAATCAGACAAGAGAGGCAAACCGAGGGCATACAAATAGGGGCAGAAGAGGTCAAACTATCTCTGTTTGCTGACGATATGATTGTATACCTAGAAAAATCCCAAAGATTCTGCCACGAGACTACTGGAATTACTAAACAAATTCAGCAAAGTCTCAGGTTACAAAATCAATGTAGAGAAATCAGTAGCATTCCTACATGCCAACAACAGTCAAACCGAGAACCAAATCAAAGACTCAATATCCTTCACAATAGCAACAAAGAAAATAAAGTACCTAGGAATGTATTTAACTAAGGAGGTAAAAGACCTCTACAGGGAGAACTATGAAACACTGAGGAAGGAAATAGCAGAAGACATAAACAGGTGGAAAACAATACCATACTCGTGGATTGGCAGAATCAACATTGTTAAAATGTCTATACTATCCAAAGTGATCTACAGATTCAATGCAATCCCTATTAAAATACCAACATCATTTTTCACAGACATAGAAAAAATAATTTTACGCTTCATATGGAACCAGAGAATGCCCCGTATAGCAAAAGCAATCCTAGGCGAAAATAACAAAATGGGAGGCATCACTTTACCAGACTTCAAACTATGCTACAAGGCTATCGTAGTAAAAACAGCTTGGTACTGGCACAAGAACAGGGACACAGACCAATGGAACAGAGCTGAGAACTCACATATAAAACCATCCTCATATAGCCATCTAATCTTTGACAAAGCAGACAAAAACATACACTGGGGTAAAGAATCCTTATTCAGTAAGTGGTGCTGGGAAAACTGGATAGCCACATGTAGAAGACTGAATCAGGATCCACACCTTTCACCTCTCACAAAAAATCACTCATGGTGGATAACAGACTTAAACCTAAGGTGTGAAACTGTAAGAATTCTAGAAGAAAATGTTGGAAATACTCTTCTAGACATTGGCCTAGGCAAATAATTCATAAAGACAACCCCAAAGGCAATCAAAGCAACAACAAAAATAAATAAATGGGACCTGATCAAATTAAAAAGCTTCTGCACAGTCAAGGAAACTGTCATGAGAGCAAACAGACAACCTACAGAATGGGAGAAAATATTCACATGCTACACATCCAATAAAGGGCTGATAACTAGAATCTATTTAGAACTCAGAAAAATCAGCAAGAAAAAAATCAAAAACCCTATCAAAAAGTGAGCAAAGGGCATAAACAGAAACTTTTCAAAAGAGGACAGAATAATGGCCAACAAACATACAAAAAAATGCTCAACATCTCTAATCATCAGGGAAATGCAAATCAAAACCACAATGAGATATGACTTATCTCCAGTGAGAATGGCCTTTATCAAAAAGTCCCAAAACAATAGATGTTGGTATGGATCCAGAGAGACAGGAACACTCATACACTGCTGGTGGGACTACAAACTGGTACAACCTCTGTGGATACAAGTAGAAGTACCATTCGATCCAGCAATCCTATTACTGGGCATCTACCCAAAAGACCAAATGATACTGTATAAGAAAGACATCTGCACCCGAATGTTTATAGCAGCACAATTCACAATCGCAAACATGTGGAAACAACCCAAGTGCCCATCAATACATGAGTGGATTAATAAAATGTGGTATATGTATACCACGGAGTACTATTCAGCTATAAGAAACAATGGTGATCTAGCACCTCTTGTATTATCCTGGATAGAGCTGGAGCCCATTCTACTAAGTGAAGTATCCCAAAAATGAAAAATAAGCACATGTACTCAACAGCAAATTGGTTTTAACTGATCAAAACCTTAGTGCACATATAGGAATAACATTTATTGGGCATTAGACAGGTGGGAGGGGGAGGAGGGGATGGGTATATTCACACCTAATGGATATGGTGCGCACCATCTGGGGGATGGACACGCTTGTAGCTCTGACTGGGGTGGGGGGAAGCGCAATGTACGTAACCTAAACATTTGTGCCCCCGTAATATGCTGAAATAAAAAAAATAAATAAATAAAAATTCATGTCATTGAGCATACACCCAAATATATATGCATATATTTTAAAATTTTATTTATATTCTACTATAGTAGCATGTTACATGCATTTCAAAACATGTATCAAATATAACCAAAGACTGTGTGGGAAAATATATAAATGCAGAAACCCCAGTATTTTCTCCCCAGACCCCACAGTCTTAGATATGCCCTCCTTCAAGTTTGTACACTTCACCTTGGGGTTCTAGCCTTTAGACAACATCGCTGTGTGGCACTGATGCATAAAGAGCTTGATCTTTCAGACTAGAGGATCCGAGTTTTCCTCCTGTCCCGATTTCTGTCTAGGAAGTGTTTTGACCTTACGCAACCCTTTGCAAAAAATAATGACTTTAAATGTGACCAACTTGAGACAATTTAGTTAAAAGATCAATTTCATAAGCAGGTTCTTCCAATACTCTTAAAGGTCACTTTTGTCACATGCAATGTCACAAAATGCAAAAAAAAAAAATACTCAAAAAGAACCACCACACTTCGATTTTTATTTTTTGTCACTGGATTATTTTTTAAACCACAACTCATTTCCACGTCTTTCTCTGAATGCATGATTGAATGACAAAGCACACAGCTCGTATACAACTGAAACCTCTGACCACACGTATTCTATTTTTTTCCTGCAGTCTCTGTGTGAGCTAACAGCCAGCTAACGTGCAAACTAAAAAGTTATTCCCAGGTTGCAAAGAGGAAAGAGTTTAAGTGACAGCCACCGGACCTTTTCCCAGGAGATAGTAATCTCCGGAAGATGTTTTTGCTAATTATGAGGCTGAAATTACTGGCACAAAGCCATCATTTTGCGGGCTGTTATAATAAGACAACGATGTCAGTTTGAACTGCGGTGAAAGTCTTTACGGTGGTCAAAGGAATCCTTCCCACAGTTCAAACCTCATCCCAGTTCCAGATTCGCATCTCCAGGAGTGTCAGGAACCGCTCAAGAACAATCACCAGGTTCACGGTGTGTGGATCCTTTTCCCAAAGGGACAGGTGCTCCTAAATCAGCCTCTCCATTGCAGGCGGCGGCATCAGGCTCCACATTTCCACTCGGGAGCCCTCCTTTTCCTGGCGGCTCGGACTGTAGGTTCCCTGAGTCGCCCTTTTGTTGGAGGCAACAATGGAGGCGGCGGCGGCCAGCAGGAGGATCAATAACAAGACCAGGGTCGCTGAGCTGACGGCTGTGAAGACACTTGAGAGCAAGTCGTCTGCCAGCTGCAGGGTTGAAATGATCGTGATGTGAGTTCCAGAGCAAAGGCAAGTGTTGGAGACAATGGAACTGCCCTGGGATGAAGACCGACCAGAGCCAGCTGGTACCACTCAATGCTGTAGAAAGACCAAGGTATCGAAGGAGAGTCCAATTTTCTTATTCCCAGATCATGTAAAAATGATCACACATCTGGCATCTAAGATCTACATGCAGAAAAAATGTGGCATGGAATAAATATCTCCTGTGTTCACTCAGTGTCTCATCTGAGTGCCTGAGATCACACGTGTGGCATCACGGGCAAAAGATGAACCTGCACATTTATCTGTAAGATCGTTCTAGGTCTACAGGACTGTGTCATTCACAATCTCTTTCCTCCCTTGCCAAAATACTTCAATTTTGGACAAAAGAAATGGTTGTTTTACAGCCTTTTTGGGGAAAGAAAGCAAATTAAATTCGTTGAGTCTCGTGGGAAAGATCCCCCGGAGACAGAGGAGGGACCGTGATGCCTGGTCTCGAAGGCGGTTTCCGTAGGAATAACCGTGATTTGGATTCAATGTGAGAATTGAGTGAGCTTAATTCTGAACCCAAGCACCGGGCAATGGGAAGCTGCAGGTCGAGCCTGGCAGGGGCTGGTCCCTGGGCTCTCAGGTTTGTTTAATGTTTAATGTTGATTCCAAAGTGTTTGCAAAGCGCTTTTTTAGCAAACTTGAACTCTATCAGTTCAGCAATGGGCAACATGAAACTGTGACTGAGTTGCACAGAAATATTAAAAATAGGAAGCAGTCGCTATTTGAATTTTTTAGCTGTTTTTTTCAAAGAAATGTTTCTGTCAGAGTGAAAGCAGGAGCAAACGATTTTATGTTCTCATTTAGCTTCCTCTCTGACCCGTCCCCGTGTTAGCAAACCAATCTGCTCTTACAAATGAAATCTCTGTTCGTTTTAATATCCCCGGGAGTTTTAATATCTGTTATCCTTAGTCGTTTTTTGTTCCCTGCGCCTTGGTTTAAGTCATTGTACAACTAATATAATACTGTACTGTCTTTACAATGTTGTCTTGGACCTACTCACTATGAGCCTTGCTCAACTGCAGTTCCTTAGTTTGTTTATTCATTCAAAGATACTTCCTGACCATTCATGATGGGCATTTACTGAGCTAAGAAATAACAATACAAGATAAATCAAACTTTGGAACCTGGAGCTCAGGGTCTGGGGATAGCAGAGGAGGAGACAGACACGCGCACATCTACACATATCACAGTACACTGTAAAGATGTGTTACAATAGTGTGTCCTAAATTTGCTGTACTGGGGTGTGGGTGGAGTAAGATTGGAATGAGGCATGTGCTTGCTCTTTAAAGGATTAGTGGACATTCAGGTATTCAAAGGAGGAAATTCCATTTGGATGAAACAATTTAAAATAAAAAAAAAAAAAGAGGATATGAAGTCTTTAGAATTTGGGGAAACAGTAAGAAATCTAGTGTGACCAAAGATGTTGTCCATGAATGTGTATGTTTGAACTGGGACAGGGTTAAGAGTCGGTGAGAGGTGAAACTGAAGGAGAAGGATCTTGTCAAGAAACTTGAAAGCCGCACCCTAGTTCAGACTCTGTCCTGTGGTCAGTGGGAGCCACTAGAGATGTTTAAGCAGGAGCACAACGTGATGAGATCTAGTAACAGGGCAGGGGATGGGAGAGAGTGAAGATGCGGAAGAGACTCGAGGTAGAAAGAGGGGAGTTTGTTTTATTAGTCATGCTAAGAGATGACCTGGGTCTAAATTTAGCCAAGGAGCGAGAATGGAAGGGAAGGAACAGTTGAGAGGTTTCCAAGGTGAGTTGGCATCACTTGTGTCAGACTGTGTGGGGTGGGGAGGAGCAGAGGGAAGGTAAAGGTGACGCCCTGTTAGGTGACCAGGTGGACCTGGGTGTCATTAATTGGAACTGGGTACGTCGGAGGGGAACAGGTTTGTGTAGGAAGAGCGTCAGTTCGGTTTGGGAAAAGTTAGCTTTGGGTGTCTAGAAAACATTCAGGAATATGGTACTCCTAGGTAGTTAGGGATAATCACTACCCCTCTCCACTTCCAATTACTACCAGAAATTCTGGGTCATGACAACTTTTCATCCTCTCGTTACTGGAGCGTGAGGAGTGAAGCAGAGTTCCACAGACTTCGACAGTTCACTCAGCTAGAGGACACGCTCCCATCCACACTGTGTGGTCGCACTTCTGCGAGTAATTATGTCTTTTATCAATAAAAATAACTCTAGGCTGGGAAACATGAACAGAGCCATAGACTTGGCCTTGAGGTCAAAAGTCTGGGACACAGAAGGACAGATGGAATCTGACCAACAAAATCCCTTAGCATTATCTAGGGACCTTTAGATATACGCCCTCTTGTTCTTAGATGTTGATTTCATCTTAATCTGCCCAGTAAATTGTGTCATCTTCGAAAGTAAACGCCTGTTCTCCTCGAAGAGTCTGTCCGGGAGTGTCCGCACCCACACGGAGAGAAATCGTTCGGTTTGTCTCTGTTTTCTGAACTTTTCTGGGCCCTTCTCTCCCCATTCAGCCTGAGACTGATCACGCAGGGGAGGCTAAGCCCACACGGGTCCTGTCGTCTGCTGCATTGCAACTGGGGACAAAGAGGGACTCTGGGCACAGATCCTGAGTCCTTGTTAGAACCACAGTTCTGGTTGAACCGGAGGACGGTTTCGCATCTTGTGAGTTGGGGGGACAGAGACCCTCCGTCTACAGTCGCTTCACTGTCCTCAGAAACCTGGAAGAACGCAAGAGCAAGTCCAAGCTCTGGCTCCTGCTCTGCCGCTCCTGGCTGCGTCACGAGGTGGTCATGAGCTCGGTCTGTCCGGGCAGAGGCTTGGGTTTGGCTCGTGGCTCTGCCAGTGACCTGTGTGACACCAGCAAGTGACTTCGCCTCTCAGAGACCCATTTTCCTCACCTATACAACTGAGTATCAACGTCTGCTGCAAAGGATGGGACTGAACGAAACACAAGGAACGTGAACTACACAGAGCGCAGCTTCTCGTAAGTCCTCAACACATGAAAACATTAGTAGCTGTTGATATGCCAATCATCATCCCTAACTCTATTCACTTATCAGAGATGAACTGGATTCCCTCAGGACCCTGCGGTACGGCCAAGGGAGCCAAGCTACCCACCTAATACTGCAATCCCCAGCCTCGTACAGAGTTTTTGATGAAACTGTTCCCCGGAATGTGCCAAACGGGGCACGTCATGAAGCTTCAGTGGGAACTGCATGAGCAGGTTTTTAAATCGCCTCTCGAGGACCCTTTGCTTTTGAATTCCCACGGCTGAAAGGATTTTTTGTTCTGCTATTCTTCAATTATGCTTAAAATATGCAGCACTGGGACAGATCTTTTGATAACTGAGACTATTGCGATACGTGGACACCTCCGGGTGCGGGATGAGATTTAAGGGCAGACCTGTTGGTTGTGCCTCTAACACTGTGCTTTGGAATAACCCTTTCCTGAGAAGATATCCCCCAGATTAATTGCAAATACCATGTGCAATTATTTTGCTAAAAAATGATGTGATGTAATCTGTAGTCACTTACGTTCGCATCATTTTTAAATGCTTATTTTATATACGATCAATTTAAACTGTGATTACTTTGAACTCTATATCTGCAGAACAAATAGGTGTCTCGTTTTTCCCCAACATTCTGCAACATCAATCGGGTCTGGCTATACAGGACCGGAGCGAGGCTATGCCATGGCATTCTGAGGGGAAACTGTCACAACTTGTTTTGAATCTTCTCCCCTGACTGGTGTATGCCAGAATATGCTAGAACCATGCCTTGGTGCCTTTTATTTTTTAAATCCTAGAAAAGAAATTGCATGCTGTTTCTTCTGAAGGGGAGACTGGAAACAGCATGTACTTGCTGAACAGACGAATGAGTTTGAACCCAGTTTCGTCCCTTGTTTAGCATATTTAGCCTACGGATGTTGCTTTCCCATCTGCAAAATGGGGCCAGTAATTCCCGTGTCTTGGAACTGCTCTGAGAACTGCAGCCGTCAGGGTACACAGAGCTCCCCCCGTGCATAAGCACAGAATGAGAGCTTGATTCATGCTCTCGTTAGTAACCCTTCCCTGGGTATTCTCTTGGTCCTGCTTGGATTTCGGAACCCCTGCCATCCACAGCCTGCTCTTGCAAAATGTCGCCTTTCAGAGCTGAACTTGGGGATGGTGAGGGGCTTCCCACCCCACTCAGCATCGAGCTGATGAGCAATCTGGGCCCATCGGAATCACCTGTCCCCTCATTAATCAACTGCTGAACAAGTCACCTGATTTTGGAAACACAGAATGAGTTAGCTTATCTGGAGAGAAAAAAGAAATGAGACAACTCTGTCTTCAGGCTCAGGATCTGCCTGTGATAATATTTAAGGCTGACGGCAGCATTTGGAAGAAGGTGAAAACAGTAAACACATCAGAAGGAGCCCTGGAAAAACAGGAAGCATTGCCGGATTTCTTGGAAAACTGTACCTCACATTTCCAAGTGAATGGAATTGAAACATGAAAACTTCGACTTCAAGTGAGAAAATTCAAGAACTGATGCTGCTACCATCACCCTGTAGGTCCTTCTTTGTCCCGTGGCTAAATTTTATAAAATCAGCAGAAGAATGCTTGTGGTCAAAAACAGTGGCCGTATTTAGGGTTAAAAAATGGCTCCTGGAAAACACTGCGGTGGTGTGAATTACCTCCAGTCCTCCTTGGAATTCAGTGGTGTGTGTGTCAGTTCGGTAGAAATGGGTGGAAACAGCTTAAAATGGGAAGTTAAAATGTCTGGATGTGACGGTTGGTTACAGGTTACATCCCGGCTTCAACACGCGAGCTTCTGAGACTAGCTGTGCCCGTGTTCAGTGTCACACGAGTCATTGAGGAAGACCATTACGTACGATTATGAGAATTAGTGATTAATGGAAAAATTACTTTAAATGTGTTGTTTCCAAATGCTAGTTAGAATATTTTCCGTCT